CTGCTGGTAAAGTATGAGATGGTAAAAACCCAGAAGTTTCTTTCAAATAAGAAATAAGAGCCTCCAACAGGAAGTCGGGAGTGCAGCATGACATTATCTCAAAGGAATAATAAATGCTTCCAAAAACAAACAAACAAAATGAAATGAATAAAATCTGAATTCTACTGAGATAAATGTTTACTGTGATAAGCTGGGTTTGAAAAAAATGCTAACATAAATTTTGCATTTACCTGTTTTATTTTTATTATTATTTATTCATAATTCCCAAAGCTGAAACTATATTATAATGTTGGATGCGTCCTACTCAGTGAGTTCAGTAGGTTCCACTGTAACACATGAGCCACAAGGGGGCAGGAGCACACTATGCAGAGGCGATGATATAAGATGGGAAATTAAATCCAGTCTCTATAGCACGTCCCAGTGTTGTGGGCCACACTGTGTGCGAAAAAAAGTTAAATATGCTGGACACAAGGTTAAACAGAAAAACACATGCTAACTTTAAAAAGGCCTAAAGAAAACCGACCTGAAGATTTGCCTCTATTAATGTGTTGCATGGCCAAGATAAAATTAAACTGGGCGAACTTTGCATTATCCACTAAGGCATGAATCAATAAACCAAACATTATTGGTTATATATAGGTCAGACCTGTCAGATGTTGAAAGGAATTACGTATTGCATACATGCACAAAAATGAATTTATGAGTGAGCCTACAGAGCTGAGAGAATCAATAAACGTTTTTGTTTGTTATAATTAAACATGTCCATGTTCAACCTCCTCTCATCAAAATTACCATGAAGCTCAAACATGATGAGCCAACTTTAGGTAAGACAAGCCATCATATTCCCATCATGGCGCCAGGTCGATTCAATGCAGCGTAATACACTTCAGCATCTCGTGTCATGAGAATATCCTCCCACCATCTCTAAATTTAGTCTAAATTAATATGAAATATTTATATCACTCTAACTTTAAGTGGGCTTTCCCTCTTCAAAGATTCATCTCTGGCTGCCCCCTCAGAAGTGAGCTCCATTTGGCGAAGCGGAAGGGAGATTCCTCAGCTCTTCCAGTCATACACCCCCTCCTCTGTATGATGTTACCCTTACGCACCACTATAATAAGTGGATACGTGATTCTCTGGGGCGAATCCCTGTCGACGTCACTCCTAGCGCTATATAAATAAGCAGAGCAGCGACTGTTACAAGACACAAGGCAAAGTGTTTATTCGCTTACCACCACTTCACGGATTATTGGATTGCCCTCGTTGGATTTAATTGCCATCACCGAGTAAGTGTCTTAAATACTGGTGAGACATTTTCAGCTTTAGTTTTGTTTTGCGTTTTTATGTTGAGTCGGGAAAAAAACGTGGTCAGGTCAGGGCGACATTTCAGGAGAAAACTGTTAGATTTGATATTTGCTTTACCTAATAGAATTTTACAACTTGACTTGCAATGATACATATATTGTGTATAAAGACTGTGCCATTATCCTCCCTTGCAGACTTTTACATTGTCAGCTAATTTAAAATACATAAGATCACAAATTTACGCGTGGCACATCTATCCACAGATCGTCGGTATAAGCACAATGACTTTGAACAAGGGTGACAAACTACGGAACATGGATAAGAGGAGAGGAAGCATGCCGTTCCCTATGAATGTACCAAATCTACACAGGAGAAGTATGCCAGTGGACGACCGGGACCTGCTCACCACCATGCCACAAACAGGACAAACCGACGAGCTGTCCAACCTCCTGCGCTGCACGTCCTACTCTCCGAACGAGCAGCACCGGGGCAGCTGCGCCTCTGACTCGTCCGACTCCGTGATCTCCACCGGCAGCGAAGCAGAGTCCCAGGTGTACAAGGTGGTTCTCCTCGGTGAGCACGGTGTCGGGAAGTCCAGCCTGGCTCGCGTTTTTGGAGGGCTTGAGGATGCTGGTCATGACTACGATGAAGCAGGTAAATAGTAATACTGAGGATGAGTCATCACAGCTAACAGCCCATACACACCCATTACTGAGCTATTAAGCATCAAAACATTTGAGACTATTAATGTTCTAACCCTAAACCTTTTAAAAGATACCAAACCACTCAAGCCTATAAGATTTATGAACATAATGTGAACTATAACATAAAATCCACTGCCTTAAAAGCCCTGATTCACAATTATGTTTCTCTATGAGGATGGTGATGAAGTTTACCTGATGGATTAGAATCAAACAGGTTCTTATTTTTCCTATTTCCAGGTACCTTAAAGAACTACCTCCTCTCTAGTACAGCTGTCAAAAATATGTCCAGTAGAATAATGTGAAGTGAAAAATCAAAAGGCCAAATTGGCTTGATCAGAAACTGTGATCCACTTTTTGCTTCAGTGTACACACACAAAAATAAATGTGCTAAAATCAATTAATATAATACTGACAATAAACACAACTGTTTGCATAAGAGATGCTCTATTCCTCTCTGACAGTGTGTAACATAATATTTGTTCCCCACCTCTCAGGAAACACTTACGACAGATCTATCATGGTGGATGAAGAAGAGGCATTCATTCTGTTGTATGACATCTGGGAACAGGTGAGTTATATATAATTCATGCAATGTTTGTCCAGTTACATTGATTCAGTGATATTATATTAGTATGTATGTAGTGAAGAGATGTGTGATGCTAAACCTGGTATCTCTTTCCTGAAGGACAACAGCCAGTGGCTGAAGGAACAGTGCATGAGGATGGGAGACGCCTACATCATTGTGTATTCAGTGACGGACAAATCAAGCTTCGAGAAGGCGTCAGAGCTGCGTATCCAGCTGCGCCGGGCCAGGCAGTCAGAGAACATTCCCATAATCCTTGTTGGCAACAAGAGTGACCTAGTGCGGTCCAGAGAGGTGTCTGTAGATGGTAAATCATTATAATTAACTTACCTTTGAGCCTAAAAAGTGCAACAATTGTATGATGAAAGCCAGGACACATTTTTAGGTCAGGGGAAGTGGGTTTTAATGCAACTTTTGGTTGTTTAAAAATTGATATTTATTATTTAAAGCTTAAAAGGTATCTTTTCATGATCAAGTCTATCAAAGCTATTTGGGCTTGACTGGCTGTGGTGGGGTCAGGGCATGTTCCTCACTTGTCTGGTCAGGTTGAATTGCAAATGAAAGCTATCTGCCAGTGTTTTAGCTGTTATTATTTACTGTTGTCAGCCTAAATCTACTTGAGCTTCTACCTTAATGCTGTCTCAAATGTACACCTCCTCACAGTTCTAATGTTCTTCTTTTCTCCATATTTTCTGTGTTGCAGAGGGAAGTGCCTGTGCAGTTGTATTCGACTGCAAGTTCATTGAGACATCTGCATCCCTTCATCACAATGTGCATGACCTATTCGAGGGAATAGTAAGACAGATCCGCTTGAGGAAAGACAGCAAGGAGGAAAATGCTCGGCGCATGGCCAACTGCAGACGTAGAGAGAGCATCAGCAAGAAGGCCAAGCGGTTTCTGGGCCGCATGGTTGCACGCAAGAACAAGAAGATGGCTTTCAGGCAGAAGTCAAAGTCCTGCCATGACCTAACTGTTCTTTGAGGAACAAATGGGACAGACAAACATTTTTTTCTTTGGCCTCTGAAGACCAGATGCTGTGTGTGTGTTTTAACACTAACCCTAAAGGACTAATAGAGCTGTACAGAAATATATTTTAATTTTTTAGACACCAACCAAAAGCAGAGGACTTAATTAATAAAATGACTGACATTATTCAAGTCATATCTTGTTAACGGTGATAACCTGCATGAAGCTTGGCAAACATTTATTTTATTTTATTTTTTGTCTGCCTTAAAACATATCGCTGTCATAATCAGTACGTATGGAAAATCCACAAAGGCTTGTTATGTCTATTGAGTTGAAAAGATTGCCTTGCTGTTGGGTTATTGTTGTGCTCCTATACTGGAGGGGATTGATGTATATACTATAACATGAATGATGCTTATATACATACATCTCATTATCCTAGAAGATATGGTAAAGGATCACAATACTAGGCCATCTGGAGTCATATTTACTTGAAATGTGGTACGCAGGTTCGTGCCTTGGCCAAATTACTAAAGACTACACTGAATTCAGGTTGTGAATGTATGAGTAAAGCAATAAGTTATATTAGTCTTGTGTATCTTGGCATTATTTGAAAATTCTTTGTTTACATTGAGTTTCTTTTTTCAATAAAAGATCAAATCAAATGACAAAGTCTTCTCTGTTATTCCTACAGCAAAGTATCTAGCATGATGCAACAAGAAAGAAGTAGATGTTTAGGCAATTTGCATCTCCATGAATATTCATTTGATTGTATCAGTGGAATGGAACCTCACTGGCCATTGGTTTTACAGAAAGGAAAGAAGGTAGTTAAGCATTTTTATCTGAAGGTGTTAACCATTAATCCACCAAGAGTACAAGAACACTGTTTTTCCACCTAATTTGAACACCTCTCACACCTCTCAGAGGGAGCACATGCATCATTTGGAGAAGGTAAGATAGAAAGGTTTTTGTTATATATGGCAGTATAATTTACTAGAACTGATTTTACTATACCCGACAGCAGTTTTAGCTATCTTTATCACTGTTATCTGCTGTTGTTAAGCTACAGTATCTTCAAAGGTTGTTGTTATACTTTAGAGGTTTGAATTGGAGTGAAAGGGGAAATGCCAGACACCACTGTTACTTGTACAATGCACTATAGCCTGTGATTTGATAGTGGTAAACAAACAAACAAACTGCTCTATCTAAAAGATGTCTGACACTCAAATCAAATGGAATGAATTCTTGGCATCCAACATGATAGTAAAAAACACAAGTTTTACTTCCTACTCAAATGCGATTCTATCAGTCTTCTGTACTAGTGACTGTAGTGCGAGTTCAGATTATGCATTTAAGCTCAGGCTGTTGCACATGTAAAAATGATGAAATCTTGGCATATAAAAGAATTCCATGGTGGTGGATCAGTAACGAGACAGAAAGCATGCTGACTGTTGATTTGTGGCAACGTGGTTTGAAATGCTGTGAATATGCCACAGGTTCAGGGACACATGACCGAGGAGCTACAGCAATGCTCTTCATGGCTCTCATAGTAAGATATGTTTTTTTTTAAATTACTCTATTATACTTTCATTTATAAGAACATTTCTGCATGATCAACATCACTAAGACCCTTGAATTTTGTTTTGCAGCTTGTGATATTTTACATATTTGCACCATCCTCTGGGGCAATTGTTAAAATTGGTGTCCCTGAAAATTATGATGGCATTTTCCCATGGTATCTAGCCAAGGTAAGGCTTTTAAATCAACTAGAATTCACCAGATTTAAGTTATTCTTCATGGCCTTCTAATAAGAAATTAGATCTTTAATCCCCCAATTGTACAATCTTAGCTTTTTTTTTTCTTCTCCAAATATAGTCAGAGATAAAAGCATATACATCTCTGTGGAAACATCTGCAAAACATTTAATCTTGGGTAGAAATGTTTTATTCTCATATGTCATATTCATAATTATAGCAATTTCAGATCGTAACTCAGCCTATAGCAACTCAGCATCAATAACTGTTGGAAAGGTTTAACATTCTGCACATGAGAGTGATCTTTTTATACAGTACCTAATAAGATTAAGGCAACACTAAGTTGCTACATTTCCTCATGATTAAACCAGGTACATGAAAACATCTCTATCTAGCCTTCTGATCCTGTTGATTTTGGTGAAAAGACCGTCACTGATCTTTAGGCAGAAAATGAAGGCAGACTATAAGATAGAATCACAGAATGGTAGTGCAATTGAAAATCTCTATTTTCCTCTTCCATCTGCACACAAGGTTGAAGATGTATGAGCATGCTGCCGTCATCACTAGACTATAATTGGAGTGTTCACAATGCTTTTCAGGCGTCAGTCCCAGCCTCTGCATTCAGCACAGCTGGGTGGCACTTTATTCATACATGTCACTCAGACATCCTCTGGATTGTGCAGCAGCAAAAGTATCTAGCACTTTAACTGGTTATATTGTGATGTCATTTCATATGAAGCAGTTATATTTTAAGTCTTGACTGAGGGTCATTAACACATAGCGTGCTAATGGACAGAATGGAGGAGTTGGATAATAACCCCAGTTTGTGTTATAAAAGGAAACAGCATAATAATTGCTTCAGATTTGTTCAAGGTAACAGCTCTTCACAAGACTCCGTTCATCTGGCTCTGAATGTAACTATTTTAAAATGGGTGAATCCTGAGGTATTTTTTGCTTTAAGGTTTAGAGAATTCAGACTGAACCTTGTACCTGAGTCTTCCTGGAAGTTGTTGCAAGATGTATGATTGTTAAAGTAATTTGGTCATCAGACAAGTTGAATGGTAGGATGCTGGCAAAAACAAATTATACATTTTATTTTAAGACCAATTATTCCTACTGAAGACACAACCCTATAAAAAGAAGTCATAACTTTATAGCTCAAATTATAAACCACTTAGTAATTCCCTAAAACAGCTGGGCACTGTAGATTTTAGCAAACACAATTCAAACCAGCAGTAAACTGTGTATTTGCTGAGGACTATTTTCAGCAGCGGATTAATACTCATTTAGGATTCTGCCACCTATTTATAGCAGCAGAATGGTTTATGTGTACGAGCTGTAGTCACCTCAAAGTGCAGCACAGTGGCCATGTTCATGGTAATTAGCTAATCATCCAGTGCAATGGCTCACTGGTGCGTTTTTAATAGATTTTAGACAACAACAGAGGCATATGAACCAGAGGAACAAACCCTATAGCTTTGGCAACACATACAGTACTTTTAATCGTTCTTCATATACTATAATTTGTCACTTTTTAAAGAATTGTTTTCAAATCAGATCACTGATGCCTGCTGCTAGCCTTTCTGGCCAGTCCTCTTACACTTTACTATTTGTGCATATAGCTTGCTTCTGAACAGAAACACAAACTAATGCTATTTATTCTGTTCTGTGCAGCTTCATAGCCTGCCAGGTAATTACAGTGACCTGGTGGTAACTGGGGATGATGAGGGGATATTTGGAGTCGATGCTCAGTTTCTTTATGCTCTACAACCACTGGACAGAGAAAAACAGCCATCCTACTCTCTGCAGGTAGCATATCATATCATATAGCAGTGGTATGATATAGCTAGAGGTCACACATTCATTCACTCAAGATGCAGCAAATCCACATAGCAAATCTAATTGCAATAGTTTTTATTCCTATTTATTCATCATATGAGATTTATGTGATTTAGTCATGTTCAGTGATATTGAAAGAAACAATTACTTTTTTGCTTGGTATTAAATTTGTATGGGAAGGTGAGGTGCCAGTTCCAGAGTGTTATTTATATATACTTACAAGATGTGTTTGTGTTTGTACTGCAGATGTCCTTCAGAACCTCAGTGAATCGTCAGAGCTTCACTGTCGAAGTGTGTGTCATCGACAAGAACGACAACGTACCCACTTTCATAGAGGAGAGCATGAGAGGCAGTGTGCAGCTTGGGCTTCTCAAAGGTTGAGCTCTGATGTCACCATGTTGCACAGCCAAATTCAGTCTGATTCACATTTGTCAGTCCTGTTACGGGAAACACAAATACCCATTCAGTTTTGCCCAAACAGTGGAAAACATGGATAATGTATAAGTAGAATCTACAATTTCCCCTTAACCTCATTTATATTAGAATGTGACATGGAAAACTGGTTCAGTTACATTTTATTAAACAAAAAAAAGACTTTTGCAAAGATCTAGCAATCACATCGACTCAGGTACAATACCCTAGATACACTAGAATTAATTAATGTCCTCCGTTTTTGGAGGAGATGGACAATATAACCACTGACTGTAAAACATGAAAACTGATGCTGTATCTCTAACTTCTTAATAATGGCTGACATTATTGTGTATCATGTTGTTGTGTGCGTAGTTCAGGCATTTTGTAACTTGAGTACAGTACCAATATACTTTACTTATAAACAAATCCAACATAGTTATATGTCTTTGGTATTATACCTACTGATTACTTACCCATGTTCTATTCTCTTCTGTGTAAACACAAACATGTAATGAGCCTTGAGTTTACAGAGAGGTGAGATGTCTGTAATATAATAGGTAACTCTGTGGTTCTGCTCCAACTGTGTCTCTCAGGGATCCCGTTCATGCAGGTGGAGGCACAGGATCGTGATGACCGCGACACCGCCCATGCCGAGCTGAGGTTCAGCCTCATGGAACAGAAACCCAGGATTCCCTCGAGCCAAATGTTCTTCATTGACTCCATCACTGGGGAGGTTTCTCTCACTGAGGAAGGTCAGTCCCAACTACTGACTATAGGGACAGAATCAGTTAACGTTTCTGTTTGTTTGTCCCTGAAGGGAAGTTGTTGTATTTTGAATGCATTCTTGTTTTTTAGTTGCATGTTAGCAGTGTGTGCACAAGCCACTTAGTTATGAAACCATTAGTCATAGTTTCACATCCATCAATCCATTTTCACTAACAAAAATAATAAATAACACCATCTGTTAGAATTTTGTAGCTATATTGATATTAGCCAGTAAGTGACAAGATGCAGTATGTGATTTAGAAATGCATAGATGAAAGATATTTTCAGAACACTTAAAATGAGTGTTGCCATTTCACACAGTAATTTACAGTGTCTACCAGAGACCACAGAGTTAAGTTTATTTTTCAAATGTAAGGAAGCACATACAGACAGACACATGTTGTGTTTTCATCACTTCAGAGGACATTACATTAATTTGCATACATTTTCTGGAGACGTACCCCAACCTTAACCATAACCACTACTTGTTCAACCTTACATTAACCTCACTGTAACGTTAATCCAAGTCAACACTCTAAGATGTAATGATTTACATTTAGGGGACTTGCTTTTTGTGCCCATAAGGACATCAAGGCCCCACAGTGTGACTGTGTAAACAGATTTACACCCCCACAACATGGGTAATACCGGGAGCCACACACACACACACACACACATACTTGTTCTTCTGTTTTTGTGAGGACACTCATTGACATATTGCTTTCCCAAACTTGTTTACCCTAACCTTAACCATCAGAACTAAATGCCTAACACCTAACCAAAACCCAAAACCTAATTATAACCCTGACCGCGTTAAGTCTCAGAAAGTGAGAACCAGCCAAAATGTCCTCAATCTACAAAAATGTCCTCTCTAT